TCGGGCTGCCTGCTAAATAAATAATTAAACGAAGTAAGGGCGGGGGGAAGAAAACACACACACACAGAACAAAACGAGCCCTTTAAATCAGAGAGCTTTAAGGTCCCTCCAGAAACTCTGCCTTACTCCCGCTGTGGCGCCAGGCACGCTCCCTGGCTCAGCGGCGATCACGCGTTACCGACTCCGAGGGCAAAAAGAAAAAGCAAGCGCGGGGCAGAGCAACCACGAGCACGGTGCGCGAGGGCTCCCCAGCTCCGCTCCCGCGGCCGAGAAGCCTGCCAGCTCTCCTCAGGCCCCTTCCGAAAGCCTAACTGCATCCAGGGTGGCCACGAACTTCAGATTTGTCTACTTCATCCTACCCTTCCCTGCGGCTTTTGGAAGCGGCAACGCGCTGCCTTAAGCTGTCGCTGGGCTGAGTTGCCAGCGCTGGCCGCTATCCAAGGGCTGGGGGACCTGGGCGAGTTTTTGGAGTTTCACAGAAGGAGGGTCTCCCCTGGCTCAGGGGAAGCGCGTGCTTAGACAGCTCCCACCCTCGCACGCTCGAGGAGGCCCTAGGTAACGGCACGCTAGTAGCGATCCTCAGCCGCGCGCCGCCCCGCCAAGGCCAAAGAAGTTCTCCGAAAGCAAAGGCACCAGACGATCCCCGCTGCCTCCTCTGCACCTGGGCATATTTTGATACTACAGCTCCGAACGTTGTACCCGCGTTCGGTCCGCACAACCAAGTCAACCTATCTTATATCTGGCTTCGCTCCAGCGGCCTCATCTCACAGAGAAATTTGCACCGCTCTGCATAAGCAAGTGACATTTGATAACTCAGAAAGAAGAAAAAAAAAAAATTCCTGAATATCAGAAAAGGGTAAGTCATTTCCTTTCTCCCTCTTGCTGTCTTCAGATCTTCTGTAGCAGTGACAACAGCAGCATCTGGTGGCAGCGGTCAGTACCTTGTATGCTCCTCTGGTGTCCCATGCTCCCGCGCCCGCACCACAGCTAGAAACACATCACCTATTTCGCTGGGCTGCGTTCTTTAGAGACGCGGAAGAGACGACTTTCCTCCGGCCCCGGCTCAGCGCACCACGCTCCTCTTGCCAGATGCGCTAAGTAGCAGCCCGGGATCAATTGCAACAGCCTAATCCGGGACTAATCTCAGGGATTCAGGCCATGGATGACCTCACGGGAACAGGCCCCCAGGCCGGGCCCACCGCTGCGGGAAGCGCAGGTATCCCGGCGCGGGATCCCAGGCCGGGCCCCTGCTCCCCAGCTGGCGCGGGAGCAGCGCGGCGCTCCCGCCGCGGAGAGGCGAGCGCTTCCCCGGCTGCGGCGCCGGGCGCCCGGCCC